ACTCTCAGACTGAAGAAGTCTCTTGGAGGAGAGACGAAACGTTTCATTAGAGAAGAACCCGTCCAGAAGACCTATACAATTTTTTTCTTTTTGTCCACAAAAATTCGTGTTTAAATACTAATCATTTAGGCTTTTTTTTTTCAAATGTGCTCATAAAAGTGACATTTAAATAAAAGTGTTCACATTGGGTTCAAATAAAAACATCACGTTGGGGTTTCTAGATAAAAAAAAAGCACAAATACATTCATGTATTAAATTTGTGGTGATAAAAACTCAGACATCCGTCAGTCCTCACTGTGACTGGCCCTTTAAGAAAATGCACTTGCAGCCATTTTCTACTCTTTGTGTGGGGCGGATTAGCACACAGGGCTGGTGCTGAGCGAAACTGGAGCATCAGTCGGCACAGAAGACGAAGGAAAATAATATAAAAAAAATAAAAAATAAAACCAGGAAGTATCGGCTAGACGTCGCAGACCGCGACACCGTCCGCCCGCCTGTTTTGTCGCCGGACGGACATGATATTTTCAGGTACGTGAGGAAAAAAATGGATACAGAGAAAAGAGAGAGACGATGAGAGGGGCTGTGGATGTGAGCTGGGTTAGTGATGATGGACTGATGTGTGTGTTTTCTCTCCCTCCCTCCTGCTCCTCGCACTTTGCATCCCTTTTTCCGTTCTGGGTAAATAAAACCGTGTCCGCCTGAGCCCGGCCGGGTTCTGTTTTTCTGACTCATCAATGGGATTCCCGTTAGCCTCCATCGGCATCGGAGCTCCCAGAGAGATGGGTGGGGTGGAGAGGCTTCCCGAGCAGCAAGTGCACTGAATGATGAATGATGGAGCGCGTAAAATAAATAAATAAATAAATAAATAAATAAACGGATTTCCGACCTGAGAGACAGAGAAGTGCTGTGAAAGAGGCGGGCAGTGCTTCAGAACACATCTCTTTTATCTCTCCTTCATTTTTACTCGTTGAAATAGTCTTTTTTTTAAAAAGCCACTCGTGATTCTCCCCTGCCTCCCCACGGTTGATGCAGTCGACCATGCAGGCCACACAATGAAGACGCGTTCACGGACACCACACCAGCAGGCATCCAGGGGCCTGTAGGACCACCACACGTTCAGACACTCCCGATAATGATCCACACAACTGTGCGTTTTTAGGTGTGTGTGCCTCCCATAAACCTGTAAACACGTAGCGATGAACCAGGTGAAATCTAAGAGTTAAATGTTAAGTCACTTTGCCACTTTACCTTCAAAAAGAGCTCAGAAGTGAATTATAAATACATTTCAAGTCTGACACAGACTGTTTTCAATGGTTTGTGGATCTTTACCAGGGCACAGAGAATTAAAAAAAATAAATAAATAAACATTCTGAATGTTTATTTTTTGAGTACTTGTTGAATTTGTGGATATTGTTGGTTATATATAGGGGAGACCAGGGACAGAAGCAACAAGGGACGGTTGCAACACGTCATTTTTCTCCAAACAAACACCCAGCTTGCAAAGAAAAAGTAAGCAGATTCAAAAACTGCTCCAGGATTTATTTGAAAAAAAAAAAAAAGAGTTTTTGAGGTACCAAAGTATTCTTTTTGCCCAGCTTTATTTTTGTTATACTGTTGTCACTGTTTTTATGATCCAGCTCAAACCTATATGATTTAAACAAATGATATGTTGACTTTTAACTAATGTAGTTAACTTGTATCCAGATTAGGGGTGTAAGAAAATATCGATACACTGAAATATCGCGATATTTCATTTCCCGATACTGTATCGATATTCTAAAGCCCTGTATCGATTTTTWATTAAGKTTTAAAWTGTCAACYTTCYTGCCARCCRTTCATTTTTATGTTGTAGTTCAGCCTCTGACCACTAGTTGGCAGCAGTGAGCCAGCCATTTGGCTCCTCTACCTCTTGAGCGCCAGAGAGTAAAGGTAGCATTAGCATTGTAAGTAAACATTAGCTTTTCTTTTTTTTTTTCAGTAAGAGGTTTTTATTTAATAGAATTTTTGGACAAAAAAATCGCAATATATCGCAATATATTGCCTTGCTTACAGTATCGCAATATATCGGGATATATCGTATCGGGACCCCTCTGTTATGATATGTATCATATCGCCAAATTCTTGCCAATACACAGCCCTAATCCAGATCAGCTTATTTAGCTAACACATGAGGTTTTATCATGGCTGACAGGACGATAAATCCATATAAAAACAGAGCATAAAGATATTAAAAATTTGAAATGAAGTTTACACTTGGGTATTCATGACAATTTTATAATTTAAAACATAAAATGTTTAAGATGTATTTTCTGCAGTTGTTGTTTTCAACAATGGTTTTAAAATCCCAGTTTCTTTCAATGTAAATGTTGCATAATGTAGGCGTACAGTGACAATAGGCAAAACAAAAGTTAATTGCCTCTCAAATTGTTCTATTATTGTCTCTAAAAGCCAACTGTGTTTTATATCGATTAGAGTCTTTGACATCTGTATGTAAGGTCTACTCATCAAGGCAAATCTATGTTTGTCATTTGATCAAAAACAATAAATAAATAACAGTGCAATATCATTATAACTTACAGTTCTTATGAATTTAGCAATAATATAAATATAAAAATAATAAAACTTTTATTTACAGTGAAATATATTGTCTTAATAACATATTGCAACCACCCGCTGACAGTGTTGCAACTGTCCCCGGCCCGGGGTCAGTTGCAACATATGAGTTTTCATTTTCAAATGCAAATTGTGAAGAATGTACATTGTTCATCTATAAATGGTTTTGAATATTAACATACAGATGTAAGTTTATTGTATTAAAATTTGGTTTGTCTAATTCAAACCGTATCTGAGTAACATAGTCAAATGTAAAAAAGTGTTGCAACTGTCCCCGGTCTCCCCTAGCAGGTGGGGTACTAAGCTAAAGCTACATATTTTGAGACTTTCTGAAACTACTTCTCAGTAATTGCACTTTTTTATTTCACGTTGGTGCATGAAAGCACCATTGAGTTTGTTAAAAAGGCTACAGTATGTTACTGAAGTAAAGAGCTTTTGTTTTAAATAAAATGCAGCTAATTGAGTGTAAACGGTGTTTTCCTCTCAACATTGCCACTTGTTGGTTATTTTGGATTATCAGTAAACTTCTTCATTTGTGTTGGTATGCTGTTATTGTGCTGTTTTTAGGTTCAGACGGAACAATATTTCCATGAAATAAATTAGGGAAGTTGAAAATCTCTCTCAGTTTGCATCGTGTCTAATTAAGGGATGATAGTGGGTCCTGAAGCCAGACCAGTTGAGAGCTTTAGGTGACTGCTGTTAGGCAACTTAAAGCTTCAGCTTTTTTTTTTTTTTTTTTTTTTTTTTTTTTTACAAATTTTCTTCAAGGCTGAGGTTTAGGCCCTTTCCCAATCAGTGGCTACACACTCGCCCTAGTCTAATCTACTAACTTGTCAAAAGAAGTGCACTTTTAAGATTTTTTAAAATTTATTTATTTTTCTTAATTTTTTTAAATGTTTCGTTTCTTATTTTTTAAATGTGGACCATGGTTCTGCGTCTTTAATAAACTTTGAATTGAATTAAACATGATTTATGAGAAATTCTATTTGTTCTAGAGGTGTTTACTTAGTAAATATGTGTACAAAACATATGTGGAACTTATATTTATTTGTCCCGTGCTCCATGTCGACCACTATTTGGTGCTGCACCTGCTGATCAAGTCTGCACTGGATGTAGACTCGCTGTGGAGGGCTTAATAAGCCACTCGCCTAGGGTTGGGTAATATTGGCAAAAAATTGATCACGATTAATTGGGGTGTTTAGCCGATAATGATTAATTTGACGATTAATCCCCTGGAGTCCCTGGACACCCTTATGTCTTAGTCACAGGACCAATTTAGTGGGAAAGATTGCTCTTCATAAAAATCTGTTCCAAATTGTGTCAAAATTAGACTTCAGGCTATACATCAATTTTTAAACTGTGTTGATAGATAAATAAATTACAGAACCTTTTTTTTAATGTTCGTCATATTTGAAGCGGAGAGGAGCACCAAGCGGATTGACTGGAGAAATCTCCCCTGGTGGCATTAATCCTATTAATCGTCAAGTACCAAAAATTAATCGATTAACGTTCTTCTGACGATTAATTGCACACGATACGATTATGCCCAACCCTACACTCGTCCTCGTCCGTAACTGGTTTCAGATGGGACTTAATATGGCCAACCCTCCGCAGGAACGCGAAAACTGAGTGAGTAGGGAGTAGGGCGAGTGTGTAGCCTCTGATTGGGAAAGGGCCTTAGAGACCGGCCAGGCCACTCCATGAAGTTAAAGGCAGAATGTTTTGGGGCGGCGACTGTTGAAGATTAGTTGGTGACTCAAAACTGGGAGTAAATTAGACACATTTTCAGTTGCAGTTTCATGGTGACCAGCAAGTCATGCAGCCAATTTTTGGAAACTCACAGGCTTTTTGTCTGCACAGCTTGCAAAACTGTAGTCTAAGCCAAGCACATTATATCATCGCCCACCTCCACCCACATTGTACCCACATTGGCAGCTGCCCCCATGTTCAAATATAATTAGTGTTCGTTACCCTTTACCTGTTCTGATCTGATACCAGATAATAATAATGACGTGAATGTTTGAGTGAGCCATACAAAACCATTCGAACACAGCTGTGGACTGTTTAGCCTTTAATGTGCCCTCAACTGGCTTCAGCCAAGCAGTGCTAGAAACCCAGAAACACACATTAAGTAACAGCCTTCTTCACATCCTGGCTGCACCTCCTGACATATGTTAAAGGGGCAGGCTGTCTCTACATGGAATCAGGATGTCATACATTGCTCCTCACCCTAATGGTCCATCACAGTTCTTATTTATGTGTTGTTTTTAAGTCAGACATGTATCTGACTAACAGCCTCCTGAGTCTGTCAGACCCTGCTCAAGAGCCCCACACAACCCAGTCTGCACATAAAATCATCAATTAGGTCAGAGATAACCACATTATAGAAGTATATTACTGTCCACCTAATAAAAGACTATACAATGTGTAGTGGTTTTGTCAGTAGTAAACACCCCAATAAATTGCTTCACCCACAATCACAATTTTTTTCAAAAATATTATTTATAATTCTTGTTTATTTATTTATTTGTTTGTTTGTTTTGTTTTTTTACCTGAAAAAATTTTTTTTTGTCAGAGAAGAGCTCCCATGCGAGTCTTGAAATAGTCTGGAGACACCTGGGACACATTTGAGAATTGTTTAGGACAAGTTCACCACARTGTCTGAATATTTTGAGAGAAAATTCACCTCTGTGACTAAAACAGGAATTGAAAATTCCTGCAAATGTTTCATGACATTTTGGAGACACTCATAATGCTGTTTACCACCTAGTTCAAGTTTATTTATTTAGTGCCAAGTCACAACATAGGTGGTCTCAGGGTACTGTACAGAAGAACAATCTAAAGAAGAAACCAGCAGGCTGCGTTGAATCACTTCATCACAGTCTCTCATCCTGAGCAAACGGTGGAGAGGAAAA